TACCGCCGGGTATTCTTCCAATTTTTGTTTTAGCTGCTGTGAAGCCAAGGAGCTTCGGAGGTTTAGTCCTTGAGTGAATACCTGAACGGCCCAATCATCTGCAACCGGAGGCAGGTCCATCTGTTCCATTTGGAACCTTGACACGAATACCTTGAGCATCTCATTATCTCTTTGTTTGACCTTGAAAAGGTCCGATTTTTTGGTCTCGACCTTGATGGCCCGACATGGGCCTTCACAAAAACATCTAAGCATAGCGATCGAGTCAATGGGATTTGGGGGTAATTTATGATACCATATCATTTCTCCTTTTGACAGAGTTTCTCCGAACTTCTTCAGTAACACCGACTCGATTTCATCATCTTCTAAGTAGTTCCCTTTGATGGCGCATGTATTGGAGGTCATATGCTCATTCCGATCCATGGTTTTGTTATATTTTAGAATATAGGGCATAAGAAACCTCTTCGGGATTGGCTTTGGTGTCGCGCTCAGAGGGAAAGTCTTTTGGATAAATTTTCGGCAATCCGATCCTTTCAATATCGAGAGTGCTCCTGGGATTTGATCGACCTTGGAATTGTATGTTTCCACCTTCTTGTCGTTGGCCTAAATTTTCTTCTCTCCTGATTCCACCTGCTTTGTCAATGCTTCAAGTATTTTCATTATATCGGCCTCGGGCTCAGCTTCACCTGATCTCTTTGTGGTTTGTTCGTTTCTTTGGGTGTTCTCCCAGGACCGTTCCAGCTCGACCCTGCTAGGAGTGTATCCTTAATTCTGTAGCTGCGCTATCGCTGCCTGTTGAGCTTGCAACATTTTGAATATTAGCCGCAAGCTTACCCTATTACCTTCACTCTCGGGCATTTCTCGAACTGTTGGTCGGGGTCCTCCACAAACACTGTTTTCGAGGTTAGTTGGGAGGTTGACGTCGATATCCCCCTATGAGTTAGCACCGATTGGATCGGCGACTGGAACTCCATTGGGATCAGTAGGGGGCACCTCATTGCTAGGCACCAGATTGTTGTTTGTGCCATGATGGCCACACCCAGCCTCAATGTTCAAGTTGCCTATTGATACCTAATTTTTTCCTCATATTTTAAATTGTATATATATATATATATACTTACTTCCAAAATAGTATAATTGCATCATCATTTAGTTTATAAACCTATACAAGCATTTTACATAATTTTTCATGATTTTTAGAAACCCTAAATTAATTTCTTTTTGCATTTTTTTGGCATAAATATTCAATAATTATCCTTCAAATTATTTTTATGATGTTTTAATCATCCAAACTTATTATTTACACAAACATGCATGTTCTAAATATTTTACTTTATGTTTCATAATTAAATTTGCATTTTTAGGCTAATTGCACATTTTTGCAATGATAGCCTATATTCATGTATAATTATATTATTTATGCGAAAAAAACTTTTATATTTTTATAATGTCAAGTTATTATTTTCAATTATTTTAGTGCACAAATAATATTTATTTATTTATTTATTACTTTTATAAATTATTTATTGTTAAAATATTGGTTATTTAAATAATAGTCTAATTTTAAACCTATTTTTGGACCTGAAATTTCCCAGACCTCAGCCCAATTACCTAATACACCAGCCCAATACCCCCAACCCAAAAACCAATAATCCCATTACCCAGAACTCGGTCGCAACCCCCCTAAATAAACCCGACCTAACCCCCTTTTAACCATGTCCGTTGATCTCATCGAACCTTTCCCTTTAATTACCCAATCACCCTAAACTTAACCCCATTTTCACCCGTTCGTCACCCTAATGTCCTCTTATCTCCCTTCTCCTTCCCAATAACTCTAGCCATCGCCCCTTAAATCCTCTCCTAATCCCATCTAATATCGGATTCCGTGACTACTATTTTGCCATATACGACCTCCTCCTGGTACTAGCTACTCTCCTATAGTGCTTGTCTAAACATGGCAAGAAGATCTCATAAAACAACAACAACAAATCCAGTTTGATCCCAACAGGTGGGGTCTGGGGAGGGTAGTCTGTACATAGACCTTACCCCTACCTAATGCAGGTAGAGATGTTGTTTCCAATAGACCCTCGGCTCAGGAAATTGAACCAAAATCGGTTTAAAATCCCTGATCTTTTTGCTATTCTGTCTATATTCATCCTATGTTGTACTGTGAGTACAAATATTTGTTATTTTTTGTTGATTCTTACTTACCCTAAAATTAGTGTTTTCAGATCTCTTCAAATCAAACCAAAATGGGTTCGATTCTCTGATTTTGAGTGTTATTATGTCTATATTCGTCCTACATTCTACTGTGTGCCTGATATTTTGTTATATTTTGTCAATATTTACTTTCTCTAGAAACTAGGGTTTACCGGTTTATTCTCCTAATCCGATTTTAAATTGATTTATGTGTTCTTCTTTACTTTTATAGTTTGATTGATTGTATTTCCTTACTTATGTGCTGATTTTACCACTATATAAACCCATTCCCCTTCCCCTTTTTTGGACATGACTGAAATCACTAAAATCTTTTACTAAAAACTGAGGCTTTACTTTCTTCATTTATTATCTTGTTCTGTTTTGGATCTTGGCCGGCTGAAAGCCAAGATTACCGAATTTCCTACTTTCCGACCTTTCTTGGGTGTGAGCACTACCCTGGGTTCTTGAAGCCCTTGGGAACTTGACGCATCTGAGATTCTGGGTCCTGATTGCTGTTCTTTTTCTTGTTTGTTGAACAATAACTGGTTAGTTTCTAAACCTTCACAATGTTTATTCTATTATGTTCTAATTAGCATGTACTCTGAAATTACATGACTTATTGTATTCCCCTAACTCTCTTCGTGTGTGATTCTGCCTATAATTGTTAGCCCTAATAATGTGTTTGTATCTAACTCAGGCAGTCTGGACAATTCGAAGCATGTTTAGCTTAGTATCATTGTTAACTTGAGTACTCTACCTTGATTATATGGCCTAATCCCTGTTCACTGCCCGATTCTGATTTTCTGCTGATTAGTTGATATTATTAGTGGGCCCTAATTTGTTGAAACCGTCGCTTTGAGTGTGAAAATGTGCTCTTATAACTATGTTTGTTACTCCATGTGTTGTTGCTTTAGCCGACTCTGTACCTCTAACAACATGCTATCCTCTGAACTAGTTCTTCTTGACTGACGCCCTCTGTGATATCTGATTCTGTTTATTTCATCAAGTATAAATTGAATTTTTTAATCCATGTGGTTAGCATGATTTGATTCCTTTAGGTTTTGAATTTGTTGCATTAGTGATAACTTGTAACACCCCATAAATTCGGCTCAGGAGTGAATGTGTTAAATGAGTGGTAACGTTATATTTTGAACATATGAAGTCTCATCGGGATGATTATGGGTAAAATAGTTGTTTCAAAATCAAGATGGAAAGTTAGGTTCATAAGATTTGACAAAATCGACTTAGTTTGCAGAAAGTCTGTCTTCCATCAAGTTTTAGTGAAATTGTGTAAGGAATTGGGGACAACACAAAGCATGAAAGTTGTAGGCCTTCAAAATATCTTTCCAAAGATATATTATAGAGCCCAAACGGATCTCTATGCAATAGATTATGACCAAATTACTAAACATATACCACCCAGTTATTTTGGGCGGACAGCGAAGCGATCTTGCTTCACCAAAGTAGACGCGTGTCACACCTGCTTTTTCACTACCCCGAAAGGGTATAAAGGAGTTTTTCCAATTAAAGGGCAATCGAAACGGGATTTATTATTAAGAAATTCATAGTCGCCACTTGGGAGATTTATGGTGTCCCTCACCGATTGAATCCCGAATCGAGGAAAAGGATGACTCTGTTTAACGGTCCGCGAACCAAAAATCCGGGTAAGGAATTCTGTTAACCCGAGAGAAGGTGTTAGGCATTCCCGAGTTTCGTGGTTCTAGCATGGTCGCTCAACTGTCATATCCGGCTTAATTATCTGATTTTAAACACTTATGAACCTATGTGCAAATTTTAACTCTTAGCCGCTTTTATTATTATTATTATTTTAAAAGAGAATTGCAACGTCGTTAAAATACGTCTCGAACCACGTCACATAAATGCACCCGTGATTTTTGGCATATTTTAACATCGTTGAGATTTGGATTTGGGTCACATAAATGCGCACCCGAATTTAGGAAAGTAAAATTATTAAACACGCGCCTAAAGCAACTACGTGTTTGTACTTTGCGAGGGCCATGAAATTTGCTAAATAGCACGCCTCTGAATCTAAGGATCAATTCAAGATTAAATAAAGCGAGGGTCATGCAATTTATAATTTTATTTGGCATGACACGCCTCAAATTATTCCAAAGGGATTTACTCGACTAAAACAAACTACGGATATTCATAAGTTATTCACTTCTAAGTTTGAGATCAAATATAAAAAGGTCCAAAATGTATGCAATCTATTTGTGTGAAGGTGACTGTAATTTGATAAGGAAATTAAAACAAAGGAGACTAGATGCACATGTTGTTGCAAGCTACTGTAATAGAAATTTTTTTTACTCAAGAACAACCAAGACATTATGAATCATTTAATGCTACATCTGACTAACTCGTAAACATGATGCCTACTGTTCCAATGGTACTTTAATTATTCAGGATCGTCCTTAAACTGTTGAAACTCACCATTGAATACCATAACAGCGAGACACTGATTTAGAATAAGTAGCTCTTCTCATAGCTCTTGGAATTATTTTGAAAAAAATCAAAAAAAGAGTTATTACATAGAAGGGCTTCTTGTACCTAGCTTAATTAACTTAGACACTTTGACATTGTATGATCTTTAACACCAATTACCAAGTTAACAACCACAAAGATGCATTTTCTTACGAACACAATACTGACGCAACTATTCTCATACAAACCAAGTTGGTAAGATGTTAAAACATTCCACAAGAATAGAGCAACAAATAGCTAGTTCGGCATTTATCGAAACAGAGTGAAGACTACTATTTAAAAACAAATCAATATCCAATAGGTAAGAAAGAAATAGACCTGGAAAACTGAATTATTCAATTAATTCAAATGTCCAGCAATTCTACGGATTGAAACAAACCACAACTAATGCTTATGCATTTCGTAACACAGTCCAAACGGCCTTCTCAAAATCAGTCCTAATCCGTCCCCTTTTAAAATTTTAAAAGCTAACTAACACCAGAAATCGTTACAATAAACACAAACACACACTTAATAGTTCAAACAAATAAACTTAGGCCTAACAGTTCATTAATTAAAAAACTTACAAAACTATAACGAAAGCATTGAAAACACTAGGAATTCCAACAAAAATATGCTTCCACTTCATTTCATTTCAGCTGTAGATCTACACGGTATCGAGTTTCAGAACGTGTACCTGATATTTAGAACACAAAAACAAAGAAGAAATGGAGGTCAGCTGAAGCAGTAATGAACAGTCCCAAGCTAAGCAGTTAGGTCAATTTCAAATCCAAAAAAATCACAGCCAAACCCAGGAATGACCAGCAACAAATTAAACACCAAAAGCCAATGAAACCAGATGTAATCAGACCAAAATGTACTCGAAATCAACCAGAATTCCCTGAACTAGAACCAAATGAAATCTAAAAAAGTACTCAAATCATTTTAAACCTCTGTTGAACTGAGAACTCAACCTACTGCTGAAAACCAAACTCAAAATCTAAGAAATTTCCAATGGAACAGTAGTCATTTCAGAAAAATGTTCAAGCCCTTTCTAGACTCAATGTTCTATTCCTAAGCTCCCACTCTCTCTCCTTTCTAAATTCTCACTTCTCAATATTTCAGAATATATCCCTCTTAATTCTCTCTTCTTCTTAACTCTCTCTTGGTTTTTATGTGTATTCTTATGTGTATCTCTCTATTTTCAGAATATTCAAAGCTTAAGACTTTTTCTCTCTTCCTTTCTCTCTATGTCTTTTTTCAATATTTCAGAATCTCATCTTACTCTTCATTCTCCTCTTCTTATTCTGTGTGTGTGTCTATTTAAAGACTAGAACCAATCCCTTTTTTATTCAAACCTTTTACTTTTCAGCCTCATTTTCTTTCTTTATACTTGTATTCTTTTAGCTTTTTGTCCCCCCATGTTCTATTTCTGATTTCCAGCTTAAAAGTGCTAAGCCAATGTATCATTCCACTAGCAATTGACCTTTTCATTTTTTAAGGTATCATCCCATGTTATCTTTGCTTTCCAACTCTTAAAAGCATTAAGCCAAAAGTCCCTTTTTATTTTAAAATCCTTCCACCTAACTTAATGAGTTCTTTTTAACCCTACCATGTGCTAGCATCTTCTTAAGTAGGTGGGATACACCAATTCTTAGGCTATCCTTTAAAGTCTTTCTAATTACTTTCAACCACAGTTGGGATTTGAATCCTTTTAGACAACTAAATCTCCTAAACTTAGTTCAACACCTTCTACACTCATCTTCTCAACAAAAATGCAGATTTGAAAACAAAATTCACTCAGAACCAGAAGTTATTCTAGTTAAAGAAGAAATCCGAAGCTAACCTGAGGGCCAAATTATTGATGTCAACTTAACTTATGAATCAGCCGCACACAATGAGCAATCCCAACTCAACAATCTCAACGTTTTGACTCAATGACTGGTTACTCATTCCTTCTCAAAATAGCAAATTCTTAAACTAAAAGTAAGAGAAAAATGGATCTCCCACGACACACATTCAAATTTATTCAATTTCAACCCAGTTCTTAGCTCCTGGCATTTGACCGGTTTTCATTTTATTTTTAACAATAATAACAGTATATAAGGAACTAGTTCAGACCAAAGAAATCAGATTCGGAGAATCAAACAACTACATATTATCTCAAAAATGCACCATAACAATTATGTCACCACATGAACACATGTAAAACTAGATTTATTACGACCCATTATATACATAGAAATAAGAAATGAACCTGAGCTTAGTTGATTTGCAGCTCCAAATTCAGATAGGGATGTGACCAGGACCAACAGAACTTCGATTTTGGAACTTGCCGGGAATCGAAGAACCTCGGACGGAGACCGACTGCTACCTCGAACCTTCGCCAAAATAAAACTTGAACGTTGATCTCCAAACTTGAACGAAGCAGGGGCAGATTCACAAACGAGATTCAAAGCTGGACACGTTGGTGGCTGCTGATGGTGTGTTTGGGTTTTCGGCTGGAAATCATTTTTCCGGCGAGCTGCTGGAGGAGGAAGATGAAGAGAGTAGCAGCTGATGTTCAAGGTTTTGACTAGTTTTGGCTAACGGGAAGAAGCATGAGCAACGATGGCCATGGTTTTCGCCAATTCTCGGTCCAACGACGACTGTGTGTGTGTGGTCGTTTGGAGGTGAACAACGGCGCTAGGTCACAGGGGTGGTCGTTTGGTGGTGGTCCAGAGGCTGGCCGGCGGCTTAGGGGTCTAGGGTTTTGTGTTGTATTGAAGAAGATGATGATCTGAGGGGGTGGGTCTTGAAGGAGATGAAGCCGAGGGGGGTGGGGTTGTCTGGTTCGTCGAAGAAGACGAAAAGGGAGGGGTGGCGGCTAGCTCTAGGGTTTGGTTGGGGTTGAGAAAATGAGGGAATTTGAGAGGGGTTGAGTATATTAAAATGGGGGTTTGGTGACGGACCGGGTTGAGGGAAGGGTTTGGGCCGATTTTGGTGGGTTATGGGTGGGTTTCACTTGGGCCTGTGATTTTTGGCCCAAATTCGATATTCATCTCTTCCTTTTCAATTTCTTTTCAATTTCTTTTCTTTTTTTTCAAAACTAAAACTAAAATCCTAATTCAAATTATAAAACCAAATTAACCTATCAAAAATACTAATTAACTCTAAATAATAATTATTACACATAAATATCAAATTAAAAGAAAATCACACAATTTGACATTAAACACTAAAAAAAATGCAAAGTACATTATTTTTGTAATTTTTCATTTTTTTGTAATATAACAATTTGCTTAATTACTCTAAAAACATGAAATCAAATCCTAAATGCAGATGCCATATTTTTGTATTTTTGATGCATTAATAGAATTAAATATGCACATAAAATATGCAAACAATTGACATAAAATACCACAAAAATTTACAAAATTGCAAACAACGGAAAAATTATTTTATTTTGAATTATTTTTTGGGAGTAATTTGTAAAGGGAAAAAATCACGTGCTCACAACGTGGATTTTCGTCTTCCCTTGAATGCAATGGACAGCAAAGCGAGGACACTTCGCTAGAGTAGACGCGCCCTTGTCCCAGCTCTTTTAAGCCAATTTCAAGGTTCATTTTTCCTATTTCTTTTGGATGAATTTGGGGGTCTTCCTCCACCCTCTCAAGACCTCCAACCCCTCCTATCTTCAAGGTAAGCAATCCCCATTATCTTGGTGTGAATTTCATCATTTATACACCAGTATTGATGAAATCTACACATAAAATACTTAGATCTTCAAGGGATTTCTTCAAGAACTCAAAGGAGGGTTTTGCAAGATTTCTTCCAAAACGGTAATCCTACACCCTTAGACTTACATGTATGGATTTATTAAGGGAATATGGGTATGAACAAGTATTGGAACTCTTGGTATGGTGATTGGAAACCATAAATTCCCAATTTAATTACACAACTATTATAGAGATTGAAATATGTTTATTTAATGGAACTTTATTGGTTAAGGGTGTTGTTTACCTTATGGGTGATAAAGAATAATATTGATTACAACCATTTGAGACTTTAAAATTAATATAAGATCAAAAGAATGGGTTATTGGGTGTAGAAACACCATTAATAAGGTCTATGAAGCTTTATGCCACCAAGTGTTTGATAAAATGCCTAAGTGACCAAAACATGACTATTGTTGCTAATTTGGAATCCCTTTGACTTGTATTGATATTGATTAAAGTTGAAAGGGTTGACGAATGTGTATTATGCTCAAGAGCAGGAAGTTAAGGTATGTGAGGTTAACTCTCTATGTTTGGGAATGTTAATGATTCTCCCTACATTACGTTTCTTTTATGACGTATCAATTGCCTCAGAAATATAGTTAGGCCTAGTTCCTTGAATAGTTGTAGAACTTCTGTTCTCTAGCTTCATAACTCGTTCATGACTTTCATTTTGAACGTTGTGAGCTCAGTTCGTATTCCACATAGACTTGGGCTTGATGTCCCTAAGTCTCAGTATAGCTTACTCAACATGTCATAAACATTTGAAGTTTTAGTGTTCATAACCAGTTCAAAAATACGTGTCTCATTCTAGTCCTATTCAGTATTCCAGTATTATGTAACTCAGTATGATTCAGTATTCCAGTATTATGTAACTCAGTATGATTCAATATTCCAGTATAATGTAACTCAGTGTGATCCAGTATTCCAGTATCATGTAACTCAGCGTGATTCAGTATTTCACTATTATGTATTGCAGTATGATTCTCAGTTCATGATTTTAAATCCCTGAATGGTGAACACCTATATTTGGGCCTAAGGCCGCAGCTAATGTTTTATGCATCTTTGGGCCTGAGGCCGCAGTTTATGCTTTATGCANATATATATATTGGGCCTGAGGCCGCAGTTTAATCTTCAGATAAACAGGTTATTCATGATTCAGAAGAGGGAGTATTCATATCATTACTTCCTTTGTTCAGTTCAGTTATCAGTTTTCATTACAATTATCAGTTATTATTTTAGTTATCAATTATCAATTCTCAATTATTAGCTCAGTTTCAGCATTTATAATTCTTTCTTTCATTTTCTTTACATACCAGTGCAATTCAAATATATTGACATCCTTTTTTGCCCGGGGCCTACATCTCACGATGCAGGTAATGACTTACAGGTTAACAATTCAGAGCGCTAGGATTCTCGTAACAGCTATTGGGTGATCCCCAATTCTTTCAGGGCATTATCATTATCTTAAAGTCTTTTAGTATTTACAGATAGACAGTGTTTTTCAATATTTCAATAGAGACTTCATAGACTAGAGTAACAACTAGACAGAGTCGCAGGCTTTTCATATTGAGTTATGTTGACTACAAATATGTTTCAAAATTGTATTAGTATTTCGGCACTTTAATTTTTATCATTTAGACTTTTTAGCATATCAGTTTGTGTTAGTTTATTTTCTGCAGTTAGTATGTTATATACCATATGTTGATTCAGCCAGCCAGTTGGTTTACTCGGTCACATGTAGTAAGGCACCGAGTGTCGTGTTAAGTCTAGGCCCTGGTTCGGGGCATGACAATGCTTGGTATCAGAGCACTAGGTTCAAATGTCCTAAGGATTCTATGAAGCCGTGTCTAGCGGAGTTTCCTTTATATGTGTGTGCCGACCACTCATATAAACGGTTAACTACTAGGACATTCAGGATTGTCTCACTTCTTTGTACTCTGGATCGTGCCATGAAGCTTAGAACAATAGTTAACCTTCTCTTCCAATCGAATTCCATACGTATCGAATGCCCAAGCGGCAAGCAAGAAAAGTCTAAGATTCTAGAAAGGATGATTTGCCTATTATGGTATTACTATGGAGTACATATTGGTAACCAATAGGATTTGAGAAGATGTTGAAAGTGGGGTGCAATGGATAATAGTACTGATTAGAGCATAGCCTTATTAGAAAGATATGACAGTTCCCCATTCACATGATGTGACTATGTGTTTAGGCCGGAGGTTTATAGTCTGAAGTAATTTTGAAGTGTATAGAAAGTTTGTGGTTAGATATTCCAATTTTGTTTAAGACATATGAAATTTCCCTAAGTGTGATCCATATGTATAGTTCAAAAAGAATGATAATGTACGGCAAAAGAATATGGTCAGATGATGAAGGAAGTTAGGATAAACCTTATGATTCACTTTAGTTATTCAAAGCATAGCAAGAAAACATGATTCTAGCAGGTGGTTAGTAAAAGAATAGTAAATAAGTTTTGAGTAAATACAATGAATTCGTAATTTCAGCAGAGCCAGTAGAGGTAACATTTGATTCCCTTAGCCAGGTTAACTCTAGTGAGTGGATGAAAGTTTGAAATATCGAACATGTGTTAGAACCCAAAAAGTTTAAGTTAAACTTGAAGCACAGTGACGGGGGGAAAAAATTAGCTAGCAGCGAGAGAGCAAGCTATAGAAGAATAGCCTTTAGGAATTATCAAAATGTGGTTTCTCCAAGATTGACAGTGTGAGCAGAGTTAAATTATTAAGATGGCATATGATAGTTGTGAATACATTAGCTTTTTGTTATGTGAATAATTTAGTTTTTCTAGATCAGAAGTAAGTTGGGAGATAAGTCGTCATTGACGTAGAGTGAAAAGAATTATAGAAAATAAGGATGGTTATTTGGATCCCAACAAAAATAGAAGGATCCGCAAGTATATGACCTTTGGTCTAAGGGGTGAACCGAAAATTTTCAGTAAGTCCAATTAAAGATTTGAAACCCGAATAGTTAGCATGGATATGAAAAAGAAAATCAGTTCGATAATGAGGGAAAATTGTATAATTACCTTAAGGAATAAGTCTAGCATGTGTAAGAAATACAAAGTGAGTAGAATGATCACCGAGATTAGTTATTGGTGATAAAGTGATCACAGAAAAGATATAAAATCATGCCTATTTATGTGTTATGAGGGTAGTGTCATTGCACGAGACCCTTCCGAGTAGTGGTTAGAGACTTAGCTTACAACAATACTATAAGTGTTTTCAGGAAGTGCTTAAGAAAATAATCAAGTGTGGGAAGTATAGCTCATTAATGAGGTAGACAAGAGAACTATATTGAAAGAAGTTCACTGCTTATCCAAGGTAGAATTTCGACTTTCGGACACCAAAGATAGTGGAGTTGTTATCCTTAGTAGCCGAAGTAAAGGAGAAATGGTTTGATTATCCTTACTTGTTGTAGCTAAAAGAGGGGATTCACATGCATAACATGATGGCTTTTGAAATAGGGGGAGATGATGATACTTTGATGTACCAGGATAGATTGTGTGTTCTAACCATAGATGGACTTAGCAAGGGAGGAAAATGATAGAATTCCATATGTCCAGGTATTCTATCCACTCAGGTTCCCCAAACATGTATCATAATCTCAAGGAGACTTATTGGTGGGACGATATGAAAAAGAAGGTTGCAGACTTTGTGGCCAATTATCTGAATTATCAGCCAGTGAAAGTCGAGCAGCAGAAAACCAAGTGTTTATCTCAGAACACACACATCTTTTAGTGGAGATGGTAAATATGGACCTTATAATAAGATTATCTCCTCATTTTGAATTGAAAGCATGATTTTTATGGGCGAAGTTGTAGATTGCCAATTAGTTGGTTTGAGGTTGGAGAAATGGAAATTGTTGGGACCAGATTTGGTCAATCAGCCTATGGAGAAAGTCAAGTTGATTAAAGAGAATTTGAAGATAGCTCAGAGTCACCAAAAATCCTATTCGAGCATGAAACATAAAGACCTAGAGTTTCAAGTTGATGATTGGGTGTTTCTAAAAGTTGTGCCTATGAAAGGTGTTATAAGATTTAGAAAGAAAGGAAAGTTCAATCCTAGATACATTGGCCCATATAGGATCCTATTAAGGATCAGGTAAGTAGCTTATGAGTT